TTTTTTCCCATTTAAAAAAACCCTATTAGTACAAAAAGAAAAAAAAATGAGGAAAGTAGAATAAAATGATTTTCTTAATTTCTTGGCCTTCCACTTAAATTCCGGTCTTTTGCGGAAACCGCGTGGTGGGATCAATTTATAAATATGACCGAACACCTAACTTCCACATTTTCATTTCTCTGCCAAAACCAAAGCTCTATATTATAACCCTTTCCTGCGAACTGATCACCGATCGATTCCACTCTAAAGACAATTTTCCTCTGTCATGCCAATAGATCTCATTTTCTTGTTCCAACATTGAACATTATAAAGGAAATCTAAAGCTAGAAAGGTACTAATCATATATTCCCTTAACATGCATCTCATTTTATTTGGTTTACACATCCGGCTTTTCTTTTCATTATGATATGATTTTAACAACTGCTAACAATTACTGCCCTTTTGCCTTGTTTCTGGTACTGAAATCGGCCGTTGGGTTGGAATCAATTGAAGAGAAGCGTTCACTTAACTAAAATCAAAGCACCCTCCATACTCCTCACTCTTCCTTTTTATCTTGTTTGAACTTCGAAGGCATCTCCCCTGCTTTTAGCATTAGAAGGTACTTATTTTATATTTGCATATGTGCTGCTGATTTTGATTTACATATACATACATGTCTGCCTTTTCTTCTTTTCATCTTTCAAATATTGCCGCTGCTTCCCTTCAGTTCTGAATCAAATCTGCTTAGTTTAATTTGATTAGATACAAATATTTCTTGTTATTTTCGATCTAGTTATTTATTAATTTCATCAGAAAGAAAATAAATTTTTCAGATTTTATCTCTTATCTTGTAATTATTTTTTTATGAGTTATCTTATTTTTTTAATTAAATCTGCTTAGTTTAATTTCATAAATACTGTTATTTCTTATTTCTTTTTGTTACAATTTTTTAGTTATTTCTAAATTTCATTAGGAACAAAAAAAAAATTAGATTTTATTTAGTTTCTTATCTCGTTATTTTTTAATTTCATTATAGACAGAAATAAATCATATAATACGAAAATTTCAAAACAACGGGCTAATAAATGATAACTGGATAAATTACGGACTCGTGCAAATGATCAGCCACGCAATTTTTTTTTTTTTGGCAAAATAAGGCTTATTCCATTTATGATAAGTTGAAAGACTCCTCTTTTCTTTTGGTTTTTTTAATGAACATTGGAAATTTGAAGAAATTTTTTTTAAAAGTAAATAATTAGAGATAAACTTCTAATCACTTAATTAAGTCCAAGCACTAAATTGTGATGATAAACTATTAGGCCCGGGCTGGTTCAAAGGCTCCTCTTTCCTTTCTTTTGCTTTCTACAACCACTTTGATTTGTTGATTTCACATTCACACAGACATTTTATATTTATATTACTTATATAATTCAAACTATATTTTTTAACTCTTAAATGATAGTAACAGGGAATCTGACCATTAACCTTTATCCTTTGTCAAACAGTGATATGAGCGACAGCAGGTGTTGATTACAGCTGGATTCACGAGCTCTGCCTTCCTTTGTCTATTCTTTCTATATTCTATATTTTTTTTTGGGTAGAATTCTATATTCTATATTGTATACCATCGCCGTTCCTTGACCAAAGTCACACCTCGCGTGGTTAAAAACTCTGCAATCTCTGCGACTCTCCCCCAAACACTCAGAAGGCTCTGACTCTTTTTTTCGCAGAAGCAGCTAAAGGGAAACGTATGCTCCTGACTAGCCTCTGTTTTTTTCTTTTTTCTTTTTTTTCACCTTTTTTGGTTTAACACAAACATAATTAGTTTAGTTTCTTTGTAAATCTTAATCATATATAGGTGATCTACTTAGTAATGGCAAGTACTAAAAGACAAACCAAAAAAAAAAAAAGATTTTCATTCATCCTCATTTATCTTAATGGATCCTGAGATATATAATCATATTTTTTTGTTAAATTTTTTATCTGCTTTTCAGCTTTGCTAATTTTCAATTTCTTTGAAAGATATAGATAAAATAAAAAAGATGAAATTATCAAAATAGTGGGGTAATATATATACAGTAAACAAACATTGGACATTCTAAAGGAAATCTAAAACCAAAAAGATACTTTCTCAATTCATTTTTAATAGGATTAATTTAATTTTTTAATTTTTAAAAATCAAATTAGTACTATTAAAAATAATCAAAGGAAGTACTTATGTATTTACTTAATTACGGGCATCTCATATAATTTTTGATTAATACTTCCGCCTTTTTCCTTTCTTTATAATATGATTTTTGGTTTATGCATCTCAGATAAATTCTCGCCCTTTTCCTTGTTTGTAGTAGAAACGTGTGGGATGGAATCAATCAAAGAAGAGCAATCACTCGGCTAAAATCAAAGCAGAATATATCCAAGACCCTTCTCTGCATTCTGCCTCCTCAACCATCCAAACTCATCACTCCATTTTTTTTTATCTTGTTCGAACTTGGAAGGCATCTCCTCAGCTTTTAGCATTGAAATTAAGGTACCTATTTTATATTTACGTATGTGCTTCTAATTTTGTTTGTAACTTTGCATGTGTCTTCCTTTGCTTTTCTTGTCAAATATTACCGTTGCTACCCTCGAGTTCCGAAACAATTCTGCCTAATTTAATTTCAATGCAAACAGATATTTCTTGTTATTTTTTATATAGTTATTTCTTAATATTATTAGATTAGGGACCGAAAGGGCATTTTCAGATCTTATTTCTTTTATTCTTATTTTTCAATTTCATTATAAAGAGATATAAGACAAAACTTTTAAAACAGTACTAATATATGATACCAATAAAATGAAAACCTGTTCAAATGATCAATCACATCATTCTTGCAGAATATTGCTTCTCTCGTTCAAATCGAACTATGGAAGTTGCAACCCTTGCTGGAGGTGCTCTTTTGTCAGCAACCTTCGATTTATTGCTCTCGAAGTTGAGTTCTTCTGTAAGTGAATGGCTGAATTTGCCAGAGAAAGTTCGTGCCGAGATGCAGAATTGGAAGATTCTTTTGCCAAAATTCGGTGTTCTACTTGAAGATGCTGAAGAGAAGCAAGGAAGAGCCCGCTTTGTGAAGTTATGGCTTGCTGATCTCGAGGATTTGTTTTATGATATGGAGGACATACTTGAAGAGGTCGAGATTGATGCCAAGAGGTTTGAGCGGTCTGCAGAAGTCCAAGCCAGCACCAGTAAGCGACGGAAACTGACATGTCCCACAGAGATGGTATCTAGGGTGGAGGAAATAACTGCTAGATTGCGACGTTTTGAAGCAAACATAAGTTCATTGCACCTGGTCAGTTCGGCTATAAGAACTGGAGATAGGTTCCACAGAGTTACTGCAGAAAGATTACCCACTACTCCTTTGCTTGAGCAACATGTCTATGGTCGAGAAAATGATAAAGAGGCTATTCTCCAGATTTTGCTCAGTGATGAAGGCAACCATGAGCCATACTCTGTTATTCCCATTGTTGGAATGGGAGGAATTGGAAAAACCACTCTTGCTCGGCTCATTTACAATGACGACAAATTGAGGGGTAGGTTTGGATTGAAGGCATGGGTTTGTGTTTCTGAGGATTTTGATGTTTATCGGATCACAAGAGCCATCTTAGAGCATGTAACCAGAGAAAATTGCGATTTAAAAGAGCTGACTCTACTCCAAGAGAGTTTGCAAGATAAGCTCTCAGGTCAAAAGTTTTTACTTGTGCTAGATGATATTTGGAATGAAAACTATATACTATGGGAGAACTTACAAAGACCTTTCCTGAGAGGAGCACCTGGAAGTAAAATAATCATCACAACTCGAATCGAGAATATTGGGAAGATGATAAGAGGAAATGACAGAGTTCATCATTTGTCGTTGCTAGAGGATGGTGCTTGTTTGTCACTATTTGCTCGACATGCATTGGGAGCAGAAAACTTTGATGGATATCCAGATCTTAAAAGAGTAGGGGAGAAAATTGTTGAAAAATGCAAAAGATTGCCATTGGCTATACAATCCCTTAGTGGCCTCTTGCGTGGTAAGGCAGATCTTGCTGAGTGGGAAAACATATTGAACAGTGAGATATGGGATCTACCAGATGGTAATGGTAGCATTCTTCCTGCTCTGAAATTGAGCTATAATCACCTTCCTTCCCATTTGAAGAGATGCTTTGCCTATTGTTCTATGTTTCCTAAAGATTATGAATTTGATGAAGGTGAGTTGGTTTTATTATGGATGGCAGAAGGATTCTTGCAACAACAACCACAGACAATAAAGAAAATGAAAGACCTTGGTCATCAGTCCTTTCGTGAGCTATTGTCGAGGGCTTTTTTTCAACGGTCCAATAGGAATGAGTCATTGTTTGTGATGCATGACTTGATGGTTGATTTAGCCTTGCAGGTTGCTGGAGATATATGCTACACCCTTGAATCAGATGGAGATATATCAGATATGAGGTTTCAAAGAGTCCGTCATTTGTCATTATTTCCTTCTCACTATGAAGTGTCAAAAAGATTTGAATTCTTGAAGGAAAAGAAGAATTTACGTACAGTCTGGCGGCTGAGGGATTTTCGCGACTCGTATTACTTATCAAACACACTCTTGCAAGATTTGATGAAAGATCTAAAATGTTTAAGGGTGTTGTCTCTTCAGAATTGTAAGATAACGAAGCTCTCTGATCAGATTGGAGACTTGAAGCATCTTCGATTCATTAATTTGTCTAATACAGAGATTGAAAGTCTTCCTGAGTCAGTGAGTTATCTTCTTTACTTACAAACATTGTTGTTAAGGGATTGCTACAGGCTTTCCAATTTGCCTACTAGTATTGGAAATCTACTTGATCTCCAACATCTTGATTTAGTTGAGACAAAGTCTTTAAAAGAGTTTCCATCAGAAATCAACAAACTGACAAGACTTGTAACATTGTCAAAATTTATTGTTGGAGATGCTCGAGGACCAAGAGTGAAAGATTTGAAGAACTTGTCAGGTCTTCAAGGCCAGCTTTCCATTTTGGATTTACAAAATGTCGTGGCTGCAAATGAAGCAAAGGAGGTGAATTTGTTTCAGATTGAGGGATTAGATGATTTATCCTTAGAATGGTCTTCTAATTTCCTTAACAACCGAAATGAAAGATCTGAATTGCAAGTTCTCAGCTGGTTAGAGCCTTATCATGGTTTGAAAAGATTGACAATCAATTGTTTTGGTGGGTTGGAATTCCCACCTTGGATAGGCAATCCATCATTTTCCAACTTGGAGTTCTTGAAGCTCAACAATTGTCAAAAAAGCACTTCATTACCATCACTCCAGCGATTACCACGACTCAAAGAATTGATCATTAAAGGCATAGAAGCAAATTCTCTTCATTCTTTAGTTAACGTTGCTTGTTTTTATGTTTTTTTTTTCCCATTGATTTTGCTCTTCCTTTTTTTTTTTTTTTGGCAGGCATACATGCAATAGAAACTATGATGCTTGACAAGGACAATTCTTCTTCAGCTTCGGCTTTTCCATCATTGGAGAGTTTGAAATTGCAAGATTGCCCCATACTGAAAGGAAAATTTCCAAAATGCATTCCTGTCCTTAAAAAGCTAGAGATTGCCGAATGCCCAGAGTTAATATATTCACCAATAAGTCTTCCATCACTTGAAGAGTTGTGTGTTGAAGGATGTAGTGAGGCCATCTTGAGGAGTATAGTTGACCTCAACTCACTCAAAACATTGAGAATCAGCAGAATTTGTAAGTTGATTTGGTTGCCCAAGAGTTTTGTAGAGTCCTTGATAGCACTCAAGAATATGATGATTACAAGTTGCGATGAACTCACTTGTTTGTGGGAGGAAGGAGCCAATATGGTAAACCTCCCATGCCTTAAGAGAATGGAGATCGGCTGGTGCCCTCTGCTTGCATCCCTAACAAGGAAAGAACAAGGTTTTCTCCCCAATAGTGTTCAAACTTTGGACATACATGATTGTGGGGCACTGGAGTCCTTGCCTAGTGAGATGATGATGGAGCGACTTAAAGAATTATATATAAGTGGATGTCCTGCTCTTAGAATGTTTCTAAGAGGCAAGTTACCCATCATGCTTAAAATCCTCAGAATTAAAGAATGTGAAAAGTTAGAATCTTTACCAGAAGGAATATTGATGAATAATGGTGATGCATGTCAAGTGTCCCATCTTGAAGAGTTAAGCATTGAGAGGTGTCCTTGTCTGAAATTTTTTCCAACTGGCCACCTACCCAATTCTTTTAAACGCCTTTATGTCCGTGATTGCAAGCAATTGGAATTTATCCCTCAGAGAATGCTGCAGTATTATAGGGAACTTGAAGAGATTCAACTTTATGGTAATTGTCCCGAATATAGGGTGCCAGACTATGGGAGACGTTATACCCACAATTGTTCAGGGATAGATAAGTTAGATGGTTTAGATGGTTTGGAGTCACTTTGCCCGTTTATCCCCAATCTTAAAAGGTTAACCATAAGGAGTTTCAAGAATCTCAAGTGCTTACCTAATAAGCTGCAGCACCTCAACTCTCTCGATGATTTATGTATAAGCAATTGTCCAGGAATTGAGTCCATACCAGACGGTGGTTTGCCTTCGAACCTATTAGCTCTTGAAATTTTTAATTGCCCAGGGATTGAGTCCATTCCAGACTTTGGTTTTCCTCCAAACCTTAGAGATCTTCGTATATTTGATTGCGAAAATCTCAAGTCCTTACCTGATAAGCTGCTGGACCTCAACTCTCTTGATGAATTACGTATAGTCAATTGTCCAAGAATTGAGTCCATATCAGATAGTGGTTTGCCTCCGAACCTAACTTCTCTTGGAATTTTCAATTGCCCAAGAATTAAGTCCATTTCAGAATCTGGTTTGCCTCCAAACCTAACATCTCTTCAAATTCACAATTGCCCAGGAATTGAGTCCATTTCAGACTCTGGTTTTCCTCCGAACCTAGAATTTCTTCAAATTCACCATTGCCCAGGGATTGAGTCCATTCCATACTGTGGTTCTGCCCCAAACCTTGGAAAACTGATAATTGGTTGCGAGAATCTGAAGAAGCCGATGCAAGAATGGGGCCTCAGCAGCATCACTTCACTTCTAACTTTTCAGATTCGTTGGATATGTCCTCCAGATAATGTGCTTCCCACTTCTCTAACCAGTCTTGAGGTGTGTAATGTTGAAAATATGAAATCCATATCTAGAGGGCTCCTCCAAAACCTCAACTCTCTTCAACGTTTAACAATTATGGAATGGCCAAAGCTGCAGACACTGCCAAAGGAAGCCCTGCCTGCCTCCCTTCAAGTGTTAACTTTTTGGAACTGCAACAACTTCCAGTCCTTGCCAAATAAAGTCTTGCCTCCCTCGCTTCAACGTTTATCCATTAGGTTTTGCGCCAACTTCCAGTCCTTGCCGAAGGAAGGCCTGCCTCCCTCGCTTAAACGACTCGAAATTACATACTGCCCGCTGCTGCAACGACGATGCATGGAGGAGAAAGGACAAGATTGGCCCCTCATTGCTCACATCCCCAACGTTGATGTTTTGGTAAAGCTTAGCTTTTCTCAAATTAGTTGAAAATTTTAAGTTTTTTTGAGAATTAATTTAGGAACTTAAACTATTCTAACTTTTATCTTATTCATTCCTTTTAGAATTCTTGGTAGCCACAAAAGTTCTGGTATTTCTTACAAAAATACTCCATCATATATATATATATATGTATATATATTGTTTTGATTCACAGCAGTTCCTTTCTTTTTTTATGAATGTCAAATTTCAAGAATTGAATTTTTTCAGCAATCAAATTTATTTTCACTATGTTGTTGGAGACTTAGAACTTGGCTCATCTAATTAATCTCTCTTTTCATTTTAGCTTCAAAACAGAATGACAATTAAATGAATTCAAGTCTAAATAAAAGATAAAGCTGGTTTTAGTGTTTTCCCTTTTTTCAGTTCCTCGTATGTTTTGATTTAGGTTATTTTTCCTTATATCTTGGATATTAAATCATAGTTGAAAGATGGCCAAGAAAAAATCAAGAAAAATAATAAGGATTAATTTTCCTTTTGTAGCCTAGAGAACAAGAAGGAAATCTGCAATATTTCTGAAGTTTAACATTAATGTCAATGGAAAAGAAGAAGTTGGTTTTCTGGAGATTAGAAAGTTGTCATCCATGCATTTTGGGAAGACTCATTGACTGCTCAACATATAAATTGCTGCTGAAATGGTGGGAATGGCAATAGCCCTTGAAATGGCTTCTTCACTGTGCTTGGCCTACCGCTGCTAACCTTGCATAGTCCTTAAAGCTACAAAACAAGCTCCTTCACTAATAACATTCCACAGTTTTACTCCTCTTCATCATCATAGCCAAGTAGCCAACAATGATATATGCTTCTGCTTATGCTTTTGCCACCATTGATGCTAATAAGAAGCTTAGGAGCACTGATCTGGTGGCTCTTGAGTATGCTGATCTTAACCTTAAAAATTTTCTGGGTACGTTCTTACAAATCATATAGTTCCTTCTTATTACTGTGACAGTTTCTTATCCCATGCAATTTGGCATGGTATTTGTTTTGTTTATACCTTCATATGAATGAAAAGAAGGCAGACGAATTTTTTCTCTTTTTTTCCATACTGAAGTTATGGTTTTTGTTTTAATATAACACAAGGAATTAGGTCATGTAAGAATCAGGCCACATCTTCAATCTTTTGCTCTAACTTTTAATTCCTCATATGATCATTTCTTTGATTGAATAAAAATGTTTTAATTATGGTTTTGCTGTTGCTGTTATCACAATTAGAATAAGATATGATATTGTCATTTTGTGCGTAGATGCTAGCACTAGTGCCTGATCAGAATCAAGTATTAAAGGGACACAACATTGCCACTCTTGGTAAATAAATGTTGGAAGTGGTGATCCCTTTGTCCTTCCTTCCATTTCATCTGATTCATTTAATACATATGCAGTTTTTGTTCCTTAATGAATGAAGCTGTTTTGAAGCTGTGAGATGGTCTAACTTTCTAGCTATTGCATTTTATTTACTAAATTCTTGGTTAGCAGCACATTTCTTATATGGCTCACAAAATGAAATCTTGATTTATGAAACCATTTGGGACTGAAAATATGACAGGATGGGATCAAGCTCCTTGGACTAGTTCTAATTCACTCAAGAATTCTTCTGATTGAGTTAATGTACATTTTCTTGATCTTCATTTTTCCATTTTTCTATTACATTATAAAGATAGTTTCTTGACATGGTCATGCTATTTAACTGCCCTACAGCTGGTTCTGGTTTTGTGTGCTGAGTTTTGTGTAAAAGAGCTGGCTTTAAGTAAGATATAAGGCTTTAACCTACCCTCTGCTATTTGATGAAATGCTTCAGTTTCGATTTGATGATGGATGACTTGAACTGTATTGCAGACATGTCATTTTTGCAAATGCTTCAGTTTCCATTACACAATGGTATCCACACATCCTAGACCCTTGATGCTAATTTCAATCTAGGTTGGCATTGTTCTGGCACTACAAAGATCAATTTACCTTTTAATTTTTAGTTAAATGAAAATAGAATTTTGCCATATGCAGTGCCTGCATCCTTATTTCAAGAAAAGGCATCATAAAAGAAGGGTTGTGCAGAAGCCTTTTTGGATTCAATTATAAATAGGTGGATTCTTGAGGAAAGGTAAGTTGTGAGATATGCTTACTTTCTGGAAGTTGCAAAATTTTATTGTGAAGTTTTCACATCTGATTCTCATCTCTGTGGTCAATTCATGCAAGATCTTGCATATATGCATTTGGCCTTTATTTTTCAATGTGAATAACATGTATTCATATTTCATTCTATGATACATTGTATTCAACTTCATTCAACTTTATCACGTATTAGTTGGGTTTTAAATGTAATTTCGGTTATTTGTTTTCATCTACATAAGCACCAGCCTCATGTGAAATGGAGCTACCTCTACCTTCAACTGACTGGTGCTTTTCTTTAATCTTTTTGAACAATTACCTACCCCACCCCATGCATAAACTTCAGCTTTTGTAGAGTCTCCTGTGAATTATAAATTGCTAAAAATGGTGCAATTGGTACTTGTGTTGTGAATTTATGCCAGCCCATACCAATTGACAAAAGCTTTTACTTTAATTTGCACCAATTAAGGTTACATATCCACTTCTGGCCCAAAAAATAAAAAAAAGGTTGCATATCAACCAAAATGGAAAATAATTGGCTGCGTTGAGCATGTTAGATGCAAATTGGTAAACTAAGATGCCTTTGTCTGTTTAGTTTATCATATAAGTATGGATTTTTATGAGCTAGAGGTTAATCATCTGCTGTTAATTTTGATAGTGTCACTATTTGTTTTGGCTTATTGATGATGGGTGGATGTGTCAAAAGTAAAATATTGTGCCTTGATAGATCATTAAATTCAATACTGCTCTGTTATTTTTTCTTTGCTTACTGATATAATCTATGAAGCAAAAACTATTAGAACCATCTTAGAAGGTCATTTCTGCAGCATGAATGTGAAAATCCCAAATCCTATGACCTGATTATTATCCAAATGGATTTAACATTTGCTCTTTTTTCTGCTTCTCTTTTTGTGTCATTTATTAGAACATTTGCTCTTTTATGGAAATATTACTGAAATGGAGATTTTATGATTTGAGTAACAGGTTCTTGTCCAATACAATGTGCTTGAAGTGGCTCTGACATGAGAAAGCTGTTGGATGCAATGTCTTGTAGACTTGGCACATTGACAACCTATCCAAGCTTGCCTTCTGATGATATGATTAATGATGGATGGTTACCGAACAAACCAATTGGTATTAGGCGTTTAGGACTGAGAAATCCATGAAGATTTCAAACTTAAGCTGAAGTGATAAAGATATCAGCCTTGTCATTCATGTTTGACTTCATACCAGCTGAAACTACATATACTTTGAGGGGCAATTGCTTGATCCTCATCCCT